GTCGAGGGTGGAGGTTTGGTCATCCTGCTTTTGAAGAGCATGACCAGTTTGAAGCAACTTTATACCATGTCCATGGATATTCACTCGCGATACCGAACAGAAGCACACGATGATGTTGTAGCTCGATTCAACGAGCGATTCATCCTGTCCCTCGGAAGCTGCGATTCGTGTCTGGTGGTCGACGACGAGTTGAACGTGTTGCCCATCTCCGGCGGCAAGACCGTGAAGCCCCTCCCGGCCCCCGAAACAACGGACGAGTCAGCTTTTGGCACGAAGAAGGAATTGAAGGAAATCAAGGAGAGCTTGGCAGACTCGAAGCCCGTGGGCCCTCTGCTCAACTTGGCTCGCACCGTGGATCAAGCGAAGGCGCTTCTGACCTTTGTTGATGCAATCGCTGAAAAGACGCTGAAGAGCACTGTTACACTGACTGCCGGTCGTGGACGAGGAAAGTCCGCCGCTCTCGGTGTCGCCATCGCCGCGGCTGTCGCTCACGGCTACAGCAACATCTTCATCACTTCTCCCAGTCCAGAGAACTTGAAGACACTCTTCGAGTTCATTTTCAAGGGCTTTGATGCACTTGGATATCTCGACCATGTTGACTACACCATCTTGCAGTCGACAAATCCCGACTTCAACAAGGCTGTCGTGCGCGTGAACATTCACCGCAATCACCGTCAAACCATCCAGTACATCCAGCCTCAGGATGCGCAAGTCTTAGGACAGGCAGAGCTTCTCGTTATCGATGAGGCTGCAGCTATCCCTCTACCATTGGTGCGCAAGCTGATGGGGCCTTACCTGGTGTTCATGTCCTCCACTATTAATGGATACGAAGGTACGGGCCGGTCCCTATCTCTGAAGTTGATTCAGCAACTGCGGGAACAATCTCGAAGTGGAGTCAAGACAGACGACACCGACGTCGCCGACCGCAGCACAGGCAAGTCAGCCAAGGGTGCCGACAAGAACCTGAGCGGCCGAACCTTGAGAGAAATCACTCTTACAGAGCCCATTCGATATGCCCCAGGTGATTCTGTCGAGAAATGGCTGAATAAGGTCCTCTGCCTTGACGCAACTCTTCCCAAGTCGCACATGAACACACAAGGCTGCCCTCACCCCTCGCAGTGCCAGCTGCTTCAGGTCAACCGTGATACCCTATTCTCCTTCCACCCTGTCTCCGAGAAGTTCTTGCAGCAGATGATGGCGCTCTATGTTGCCAGTCATTACAAGAACACACCTAACGACCTTCAGCTTATGAGTGACGCACCCGCTCATCAACTCTATGTGCTCGTCCCGCCTATTGATGAGGGGGCCACCAAGCTTCCCGAGCCACTTTGCGTCATTCAGGTCGCTCTCGAGGGTCGCATCAGTCGCCAAAGTGTTCTCAACAGTTTGAGCCGTGGCCAGCGTGCAGGAGGTGATCTCATTCCCTGGTTGGTCAGCCAGCAGTTCCAGGATGAGAACTTCGCCAGTCTCTCGGGTGCTCGTGTTGTCCGTATAGCGACTAACCCCGAGTATGTGGGTATGGGATACGGTTCCCGAGCTATGGAGCTTCTGGTCGACTTCTTCGAGGGCAAGTTCACCAATTTGGAGGAGGAGGCCACTACCGCCGAAGAGCAAATGGTCCGTGTTACGGACGAAGAGCTCGCCGGTTCTAGCCTCTTGGATGACAACGTCCATGTCCGAGACATTCGCTCCATGCCCCCGCTATTCGGCAAGCTGACCGAACGTCGCCCTGATGTCCTTGACTACATTGGTGTCAGCTACGGTCTTACCCCATCCCTCCACAAGTTCTGGAAGCGCGGTTCTTTTGTCCCGGTGTATCTTCGTCAGACCCCCAACGATCTCACAGGAGAGCACTCTTGCGTGATGGTTCGCACCCTCTCCACTGGCGAGACTGACGACGCCTGGTTGAGCGCCTACGCGCGCGACTTCCACAAGCGATTCCTCTCTCTGATGTCCTACCAATTCGGGCAGTTCCCGTCTGTCCTCTCCCTCAGCATCTGCGAGTCTGCCAACTCCGGTGCCAAGAAGGACCCGAAGTTTAAGCCGCGCGTGCTACAGAAATCCGACCTCGATGCCGCTTTCTCGCCCTTTGATCTCAAGCGTCTGGATAGCTACGCCAACAACCTCTTAGACTACCACGTCATCCTGGACCTGGTCCCTACTCTCTCCGACTACTACTTTGGAAACCGTCTCGATGGCAAGGTCAGCCTCTCCGGCGTGCAGCAATCCATTCTCCTCGCCATCGGTTTGCAGCACAAGAACCTCGACGACCTTGAGAAGGAGCTGAACCTCCCCTCCTCCCAGCTCCTTGCTATGTTCCTCAAGATTGTCCGCAAGATTTCCACCCACTTCCGCAATCTCATCGAGAACGATATCGAGCAATCTCTGCCCGCACAGAAGGTTCGTATCGAGACCTCTGCCGCTCACGACGATGAGCCCGAAGTCAACCTTCAGCCTCTGCCCATCAGTCTGGAGGATGAGCTTCTTGAAGGAGGTAAACAGATCGATAAGGAGATGCTCGCCAAACAGCGCGCTCTGAGCGCATCTAATCCGTAAGTTTTAATCGCTTTGTCTGCCTATCGAAACAACAATAACTGATTTCCAGCCCACAGTGATGGACCTGACAGTTCCAAGTCCTCTAAGCGCAAGAAGGTCGAGACTGCGCGCGATATATACGACAAGGAGATTGACTCGAAGAGACAAAAGATGATCAAGAAGGGCACCGAGGGCCGCAAAAAGCGCTGAATTATTTGGGTTCTGACCAGTTTTCTTTTTGCATTAATGTACGGTGTTCGGTTTCTTGGGTCTAAAAAGACTTGCTTGTGTCTAGTATTTGTCTGTATTCTTCAAGGTTCATGTTTTCACAGGATATCCGTCTCTTGTACATACATATGAATCATGTTTATTATGCCTACAATGAGTTGATTGTTCCTAGAGATAGACGTAATATTCCTTAACCGCTTGATACATAAGCTTATGCGATTCGCTCTCAAATTTTTGAATACTAGATAGAGGTCATCAGACTAGCATTGACCACTTCCGGGGACTGAGATAATCACAGCTCATCATGCTCCACGGCCTGTTCGTCGGCCTCAGGCTTAGGTTCAGCATCAGCTTCGACTGTCTCAGCATCAGGTTCAACCTCAGCTTCCGCCTCAGGCTTAACCTCAGCCTCATCACTGACCACAATACCCTCAGGCAACTTCTCTTTAGCACCCTCACCCAACCGAATGGCATCAACCCAAGACTCAATAGCGACAGCCCCAAAGTCCGCATCGGCGCCACTGAACCGACGCCACCATCCGCGACGCGCATTCAACGCGATAATTTCAACCGTCTGGCCGTCAGCTAACGCCAATGCCTCACGCAGAGTCTTAGACCTGGTGTTGATAGCAGGGACGGCATAGAGCGGGAAGAGGTGCGTTCCGCGCTGGGCGTGCTTGTGACCGATCTCAGCTAGGCTTGCGAGCGCCTCGGTGGCAGGCGCTGGAAGCGCGGCGTCAGGCTCGCTCGCCTCAGGGAGAATGACTAGCACACAGGTGCCGGACTTTGATGCGAGACAGGCTGAGTCGAGGGATTCGGGGGTAGAGAGGGTTGGAATTGGGGGTGCGGGGATAGGGACTTGAATCGGCTTGGCGGAGGGGTCTGTTGTGTCCTGGTTCTCGGAGGCGGTGGGTTTGAGGTCCTCGGCATCGTCGACGATGGAGGTAGGCTTGGAAGCGGGCTTGGACTTCGGTTTCGACTTGGGCTTGGAGTCGGACGCGGAGCGGGGGGACGCGTCGGGGTTGGGTGTTGCCGCTTGGCTCAGGAATTCTGTGATTGGCTTCTTCTTCAAGTCGCCGGTGTAGATTTTGTGCTCAGTATCAGCGCTGGGGACGAGGACAAGCGTCGGGAACTCGGTTACGCCGAACTTCTTCACGGAGGCGGATTCTTTGTTCCGTACTTGGGCGATGTCAATTGCACCGAGGAAGTCAACTGCCAGAGCACGGATCAGAGCACCAGTTGTACCCTTCTCTGTGAAGAGGATGGCCTTGGGCCGGTCCTCGTTTTGTCCAAGCCATTTGTCCAAGTCCTTGTCTGTTGCGCGCTTCACGTGGTTGGGGATGCGGTCGACGACTGCGTCGACGATACCTTTCGCGCTGCGCGCACCTTGGTAGTCCTCAACACGGGGCTTCCCGGGCTTCTTGGAAGGTGTCACTATTTTCAAGGTCGGGAAGCCCTGGACACCCATCTGTCCGCAGAAGGCTTTGTTTTCGTCATCGTCGCAGTTGATCGCGGCGACTTTTGCGAGTCCGTCAAGGTTTTTCGCGGCTTTTTCGAATGCGGGTTTGAGGTTCTTGCAATGGCCGCACCAAGGCGCGTAGAATCTAAGTGGAAAAGGTGAGTGAAGGTCGGAGGGTGGAGGCAGAGAGCTAGATAGCTTGAGTGCGGGAGAAGCTTACTCGACGATCTATGCAACTATTAGTCGATTTTGCGCATTTAGGAAGACCATAGGCACTCACCGAGGTATAATTCGAATTTGCAATAAGCGAGTTGTAGGTTTTAGGATTCAACTGGATCACCGGCGAATTCTTGGTGTATAGTCCATCGGCGTTAACAGGCAATGCCGCAAGGAGCGACGTGACAAGCAAAAGACTGGCACTGTGCAGCATAATTGGTGATTTGGCAGCAGGTATGAAACTCAGCAAAGAAGCCAAAGAAGCCAAAGAGGAATAAAGAAAAGACAGATGGTCCGAAGTATTAACGCAAGGTGTCCTGAAGCTCTTGGCATGCGGAGGATTACTAGGTACTCCGTCCTGAAGATATTCGAGTAGCAAATATCTCACTCAATATGCATGCTGTATATATATCTTGAATTAGTGTAATGATGTTTCCCATCTCACATTAACTAGGTCTTCACGCTGTTTAAATGATTCCTTCGATTGGCATCCGGTGGACTTGTACAGAATCGTCTCCATAAGTTCCGAGTTCCCTTTCTCTTCAATAAACACAACCTAGCAATGGCTAGACCAAAAGAGAGCCATGGCCTGGCCTTCCTACCCCGCGAACTCTTCTGGATGATTCTAGGCTACTTAGAACCAAATGAACTGGTCCGCTGTCGCCGCGTCTCACGTGCCTGGAACGAAGCCTTTAGCAACCCGGCCATCCTACTCGCACTCCTGAGGAAACATTTCCCATGGACAAAAGAAGTCAAAACTTTGAGCCAAGAGACATCTCCTGAAGAACAAGAACAAGGTCGTCGTCTTTTCGACCAGGTTGCATCACGATACGACTACCTAAAACGAGGAAAACCCCGCTCTATCCAGAAGTACCGCCTCTGCGATGACTTTGGTGGCTCTGGAGACCGTGAATGGTATCAGGTGCAGCCATGGGAGTCACACGCCAGTCATATGAGGCGCTTCATTGACCGCCAGTTCTCTGAGGCTTTGTGGACTTTCGAGGATGGCCTGCTAGTCTACCCCAGCGCCGATCATCAATTCCTCGTGCTCATGGATTTGGAAACGGACCGGCAGTTCATGGTACCGTTCATTATTCGTGGCAAAATTGTTCGTCGAGTGCGGCTACAGAAGAGCTTGCTCGTCGTTGAGTGGGCTGAACCAAAGGCCTTTCACTGGCTGAACGATAGTGATGGCGTGCATCGTCACTTTGCGTCTTCCTTTGATGTGACGAGGGGTGAGGACCAGGGCTGGAATATTGTCCCGCGCAATGAATGGAAGATTATGTTTTTAGGGCATCCGCTGAGCGAGCGAGATCGGTTCTTCTCCTCGCATAGCAACACTCACTATGTCATTTATATATGGCAGCCAAATCGCAGCTTGTATACCGCCGACGAAGATGCACCCATTGAGTCTTTGTTTGTCTGGGACATATCGAAACCATCATCATATCGACCTTCATTGGATCCCACTGGACGGCTGAGAGACGACTCACCTGACTCTCCATCAATCGTGGCACGATTCGGATTCCGAGACCTGGAGTTCTTCGATATCCGGCAACGAGGCTGTCCAAGCATTCAACGATTGGAGATTACGGTTGATTCACAGGCGGTCGAAATTACAGAAAACGTTTGCATCTGGCCGGAAGACGAAGCACCGGAGCCATTTGGCTTTCCTCGGCCTATTACTACAAGCATTCCTCTGGTCGGAAATGGGCCTCATCGGCGCCGGGATTTTGACGGAATTCTACCGCCTTACCGTGGGAACTGCAGCATGCTGGCAGAGAGTATGAGGCTAGATGGGTGCATTATGACGGACCCTTGGTTTGGTGTTATTGCTCACGTGGCTATACTCGAGCCTGATCTTGGCTTTTGTCTTCACTTCGATCCTTGGACGTGGGTCCAAGATCAGACTATCTATTTGACTATCCAGACACCTCGCTCGAGCGTCACTTGTGACAATTGGGATTTCGTCGGTAGAGGAAAGCTCGCTGGTAGTGAGAAATATCTGGTGGGCGAGAATTGCAATCGAGAGCTAGTGATTTACCGGTTTGATAGATGAATTGAAGGACAAGCGGACTGGGCCACTTCTGCGGCCTTTCTCCTTCACGACGCAATGACCCTACAAATCCGATGATATAAGAAACGTTATATATAAGAGCATACAGACGTGATTTTGGAAGTTCTTTTTAGATGTCTTTAGATGCAGTACAGTGACTTTTCTATATATAACCAGGGATTGGTTTTCGTCAATTCACCTCTGCTTTCTCAAAGGCTATATTGATCTCCTTGCGTATCTATCATATACCTCTCTCACTATTTCGTCGGTTTAATGGCAACCGTACTGAACCGAATTTTACACCGTACCAATCTATGGGTACTAGGTAGAGGAAGCGATTATTTATGACACAGTTGTCTTCCTCTCCTTATTATACAACAGCTGAACGCAATACCCAAGAAGTGCAAAGAATTTGAGCTAGCCTAGGGGATACACGGCCTCAATGCTATGGAATCATAGATTTGGGTATGAACTTGTCCCTGATTCTGGGGTTTCTGGTATCCATCACGGGCTATCCAGCGTCACCGACCAAAACCGCACCTCGCACCCGAGTTAATGGCCATTGGTGGATATGGAGTGTTTCAAACGAGAGAACGAAGGAATTAAGTGACTAAAAAGTAATTTATATACCTTTATTTCGGTCAAATCAAGCACACAAAGACGGAAGATTCGTTTTGTGTGATGGCGCGTAGGGTAGAATTAGAAGCCGAAGTGAATATACAGGCAAATCAGTTACGTACCAAAAAAAAGATAGGTGCATGAGAAGGAAGTGGTCGTTTGGTCAGGATTCAATAAACTCGATTGATTATCGGGTGCGTAGTCGGCCATGATATTGGCTATGATCTCTTTTTTTTTTCTTTTTGCAGTTTAGACAAAAAATGAAGATTGAAAAGTCTCTTCCTCCCACCACCCCCGGGAGACCGAACAAACAAAAGAGAAAAGGAAATGTGACCCAACATGGATCAATCACTGCTCCTGCGTAACAGACTCCAATAGAAAGCCGTAGCTCGTGAACTTGCATCTGACACAGGCCTTGATGCCACAGCCAGGGCAGGTGAGGGTGAATGAAGGCATCCACAAGTTGCAATCACTGCACATGGGACGGCAGAAGTCCTTGTACCATAACCCAAGGTGGGAGCAAAAGCTGGGATCGTTCCCAATTGTAATAGGCGAGGCGTTCGGGACTGAAAGACGAACTTCTTCCAACCATCCACAATAGATCTCCAGCATAAGGCCATTAAGTTCACCAGCAAGATCGTTGGGGGTGTAGCGTCCATGGGGGTCCGCGAGCTTTTGCTCGAGGAATGAGATTAGAGGGAGCAACGAATCATGGCCCACCATGTAGGAGTTGATCAGTTTGTCAACATCAAAATTGGAATCGTCAGTGGCAGATTCGGGATCGTCGGTGGGAGATTCGAAATCCTCAACGGTGGCCTTGAAATTCGAGTGCTTGTTGGGTGAGTCAGTGAAGCTGGTGGAGTTGCTAATTGTTGAGAAGCCAAAGGGCGAATCGGTGAAGTTGCTGGAGTTGCTACTTGTTGAGAGGCCAAAGGGCGAATCATTGTTAGCAACAGAAGCACAATCAGAGTGAATTGGATACTCGTCATAGGAACGGAGCTTTCTGGAGTATTCGTAGGCAAACGTGTCAAATGTGTCGGCAGGATTGCAGGTCTTGATGTTCTTCTCAGGCAGGAGATGCACCAAATTATGCTCGTAGCCAAATTCGAGATCGTCTAAAGCTCCTTCGATAACATTATCAACGGTATCGGCAAATTTGGTATCTCCATCGTGATCCTTCGCCATATCTGCTAGATCACGTTTCATTCGAGCCCGCATGTTTTCCCTGCGGAGCTCTGCCCGTGCCTTCTGCACTTCGGGATCAATGCCAGCCCATTCGTTCTCCCACTGGACATTCTCTGCTTCAAATTGTGCCCGTCTCGCCTTGGATTCGGCTGACTCTGGGTCCATGTGCACACTTGTTCCGTAACTGTAGTAGTAGGTATGGCTGTGCTGACGTCGATCCCTTGGCTTGTGTTTCGATGCTGGCTCGCTACATTGGCTTGGCCAGTTGGACTCGTATCCATGGCGTTCTCGCTTTGGCGGACGATTGTAGTTGCCCTTGTAAGCCCATGTTGGTGTTTCATCCTCGGGGGCTAGATGTCTCTTGGCCTTCTTTTGCAGGGCCTCATCAAGTAAGCGTCGACGGTCTTCGTCACGGAGAATCTCGACAGCATCTTGAATCTGTTTTTAATGGCTTGTCAGCGATATTCAACAACTTCGTATGGCATTATCTTGGTGTTGTAGACATACTTTTCTGAATCTCTCAATGGTCGTTGCAGAGTTTCCAGCCTTGTCTGGATGGAGCTTCAAGGCAAGACGCTTGTAAGCAATGTTAATGTCAGGGAGTTTGGCATGTCGCTCAACTCCTAGGATAGCGTAGGCATCAACGATCACAGTGGCAGTTGACATGTTTGCGGTCACTAGTGGATGTCAGTGTTGTGTTATATGTGTGAGTTGGCTTGAGATTAAATGGTCGTTGCCAGTCTTTGGATAGGCAGATGGAATAAGAGAGACAGAGAGAGTAATGTGAAATAAATATGAAGGAGTGTGAGCAATCAGAACATGCTAGTGAGGAAAGTGTGGGAAACTGTTGGGATGACAATGACTATATCAAAACTCACCTAGGCACCGCCCAAACGTAAGGAGTCAAATTAGAAAGAAGGGTCACCGTAGCGACTCGAGAAAAGAGGGAGATGAATGATGTAACAGAGAAGACGACGAGACTGGAGATGAGAATGAGGATAGGGAAAGAACAAGAGTAGCACTGGAGGAAGCTGAACAAGAGGGGAATAGAGAACAAAGACGCAAAAAGGATCTTTAGAGATTCGAGAACAGAAGGATCAAGAAAGGACGAAGAGAGAGGGAAAGAAGGAAGGATGAGAATTAGGGTATAAGTATGAGGGCGAGGGATGCGGGAATCCTATTTAAGTAGATAATCCTATTGTAAACCGAATCCTATTGATGAGTGGGAGCTATTTATCGCTTCATCCTATAATCGCATTGAAGAACAAAGAAACTGACCTAGTCTCCAGGGTTAGGGCTATACACAAACAATGCAATCGCACGTGGCTATAAATCAGATGGTTCCTGTTGAATGGATTAGGTTAGGGCTAGCAAAATCTGTACATATGAAATGGAAATAAATTGACTCTGATTTTACACAAGCTGAAGGTCGATCTAAATATGAACAAGTCTACACTAAAGGCGACTTGGTCCTGTAAAAGAAAGCTTCTACATATCCTCACTGGCAGTGGCACCGGTGATAATCTCAACCAGCTCGCCGGTAATGGTGGCCTGGCGCTGACGGTTGTACAAGATCTGGAACCTGGAAAGCTATTAGAGACGAATCTTGAAAACATTGGAGGTAAAACATACTTGTTGATCATCTCACCAGCGTTCTTGGAGGCGTTCTCCATGGCGTTGCGACGAGCGGAGATCTCGCAGGCGTGGCCTTCAGCCATGGCCCAGAAGAGGTTGTTGGCCAGAGCGTACTCGCGGAGGCTGCTCAGAACCTGATCGTCAACCTCGTAAGAAGAGATGTTGGCTACATTGGATGTTAGTTGAAACTTGATGAACTGCTCGGGCGTAATGAAGTCTCACCGGACTGAGTGATAGCCTCCTCGGAGTAGGCCTCGAGAGTGATGGGCTCGTAGCTCTGAGCGTTAACGAAAGTGTTGTAGATGATACGAACGCTGGCGTAGTCCTCGGGCAGGAGAGCGATCTGGTCGGCAATGGCCTGGGCATCGGCGAAGGTGGGGATGTCCTTGCAGACGTTGGAGAAGCTCAAGACGATGTTCTCGGGGGCGGCACGGGACAGCGAAGCCTTGGCCTTCTCACCGAGAATAACAACGTCGGCGTTGGGGATATCGGCCAAAATACGGCGGGTGGCCTTGCTCAGACCGGAGTGGATACCACCGCAAAGACCCTTGTCGGAGCTGGCAACAACCAGAAGAACCTTCTTGTCCTCCAGAGGCTTGGTCTCGGCCTGCTCGAACAAGGTGTTGGAGGTCTTACCGTAGACGCGGGATTCATCCATAGCCTTCTGGGCACGGGTGAGACGAGTGGACGCGACAATCTTCATGGTGTTGGTGATCTTCTCAATGTTCTTGATGGACTTGAGACGACCCTCAATCTCACGCAGAGTCGCGAAGGTGGCGGCATTGGCGGGGGCAGGGCTTGATTTCGCAGTCAGCAATTGTCGTTCTCAACTCCTCTGACATCCAGCGTATTTTCCACTGTCAATGGTGTCGAGGTCGTTGCGTCGGAGTACGTCGGGTGGAAGGACTTTAGCACGAGGTATCGGATGAGAACTTACCGAGCGACGGCGGCACCACCAGCCCGCAGGGCCGGGCGGACGGCACGGGAGAACATTATGCGAGAGATTTAAAGAGGAAAAGGAACGAGCAGATGGTGACTGCGAAGAGGAGGGGAGTGACGAAGGTTAGACGGGAATGCCTCGCTGGTCGGGAAGGAAGTTGAGAACCAGGGAGGTTCTGTCTCCGTGCTGCCGCTAAACTAGAAAGGGCAAGCATCTACGGTGCGCCATTCCGACTTTCACCGCAGTTGTGCCTCAGGCATTTAGTATTTACATAACATCACTTGACGCCTCAGGCATCTCACTTGTAGTCCTTAGGGCCTCTTTTCCCATTGCATTCCTCCATTCCAATTCCCCCCAACTTGTTTCTCTCTTTTCTCGCCTCTTCTCACCTGTCTTCTCTGTTCCTCTGGATTCACCCGCAACAATCCTCTTTACGCATGTATCATTGATGCAGCAGATCTTATAACCATATTCTTACTCTTCATTGGTCAGAATTTCCTTGCTTTCCTCCTTCTACCAGGCGTCTCGATTTGCCCGACTCGGCGCACGAGGACGCCTCCCCTCACCAAAGCACCGATTTCTCTCATTTTACCCTCATTTCCGGCTTGCTAGTCCAGGGGCTATCATCATGAGCTCCTCGGAGGACGACGCACCCCTTATGCGCGCCAATGGCCGTGGTAAAGGTGCGTTCCTCGGGTTATTCGGCTGCACATCTACAATTTGTCGCAAACCTTCGCTCTCCTTGCACTTTGTCTTCTCACTTCTATATCTCTACTTTGTACACAATCGCACTTTTCTCATAGATCAGTTCTCGATGGTGCATCTCACACTTTGACGTCATTTTCTTCACACTTTGAACATACCTCGAACAGCATTCTAACATAGCGTTTCCTGCACTTCTAGTTTCTTCAAAGTCTCCCGAAACCGTCAGAATGGCGGATTCCGCCCCTGCCACAAATGGCCATGTTGATCCTGGAATATCCATTCGATTCGGTCCTGTGGAAGACAAGGATGTGAAGATGGAAGATGAGGAAGATGTGCTGGGTGCCGGTAAGCGCAAGTCTCGGACCAGTGTGGGCGAAAAGAAGTCCTATGCAGAAGCAGAAAGTAGCGAAGAAGATGAGCCTTTGGTACGCCTATCCCCATTTCGGGATGACCTTAGTTATTCCCGGTGCGACCATACTGTTGCTTTCGGCTGAAGCGTCTGACAATTCGACAGAGCAAACGCCGACGCACACATGTGAAGCATGAAGACCCCGAGACCGATGACGATGTACCCTTGGGACGCAACGGACGCAAACTTCCCAACGCCGCCGAAACATCCATCGGGGATGAGTCTGATTCCGACGTCCCCATTGAACGGAAGCTTGCTGCGCAAAAGAGAAAGATTGAACAAACTGCGGAGAAGGTGGCCAAACCTTCGCGCAAACCTGCTGCACCAAAGAAAGAGGCTAAGCCTGCGGCGGCCAAGAAACAGACAAACGGAGTCAAGAAAGAGCCGGCCGCCAGCAAAGCTGCCCCCAAGAAGGTGAAGGCTGAACCTGCAAAGAAGGGCAAAGCCAAGGTGAAGTCGGAAAGCCAGGACGCGGAAGAAAGGGAGGCGGAGGAAGAGGAGGAGAATGAGTACCGCTGGTGGGAAGACCATAGCAAGGGTGATGGAACCATCAAGTGGACAACTCTTGAACATAATGGCGTCGTGTTCCCTCCCGAATACGAACTGCTGCCTCAAAATGTCAAGATGAAATATGACGGTGTTCCGGTCTCTCTTGCACCCGAAGCCGAGGAGGTTGCTAGCTTCTTCGGAACCATGCTTAACTCGACCCACAACGTGGAAAACCCTGTGTTTCAGAAGAATTTCTTCGGTGACTTCAAGGAGGTCATCAAGAAAAGCGGCGGAGCGAAGGATTCCAAGGGCAACAAGATCGACATCAAGGAGTTTGCGAAATGTGATTTCAAGCCTATCTTCGAATTTTACGAGGCTCAGCGTGATGAAAAGAGACATCTGCCACCAGCGGAGAAGAAGGCTGCCAAGGCTTTGAAAGATGAGCAAGAAGCTCCCTACCAATTCTGTGTGTGGGACGGTCGCAAGCAGAAGGTGGGCAACTTCCGTGTGGAACCACCTTCTCTGTTCCGGGGCCGTGGTGAGCATCCAAAGACCGGGCGTGTCAAGACGCGTGTGCAACCTGAGCAAATCACCATCAATATCGGCAAAGATGCGAAGGTCCCGCCGCCACCTCCAGGCCACAAGTGGAAGGAGGTGAAGCACGATCAGGAGGGCACCTGGCTTGCCATGTGGCAGGAAAATATCAATGGCAACTACAAGTACGTCATGTTAGCCGCCAATTCCGATGTCAAGGGCCAAAGCGATTTTAAGAAATTCGAGAAAGCCCGTGAACTCAAAAAGCACATTGAGAAAATCCGCAAGGATTATCAGAAGAACCTCAAACATGATATGATGGTGGAACGACAGAAGGCCACGGCAGTCTATCTTATCGATCAGTTTGCCCTGCGTGCTGGAAATGAGAAAGGTGAAGACGAAGCCGAAACCGTCGGTTGCTGTTCTCTGAAGTATGAGAATGTTACCCTGAAGCCCCCAAACACTGTTATCTTTGATTTCTTGGGTAAGGATAGTATTCGGTTCTACGATGAAGTGCAGGTCGATCTGCAAGTCTTCAAGAACCTGAAGATCTTCAAAAAGGCACCCAAGAAGAACGGTGATGAAATCTTTGACCGCCTTACGGTATGCCCTCCCTTTTTCTTGCAGTCTTGAATGTTACTGACGAAAAAAGACTTCTGCTCTCAATAAACATCTTGCCAACTACATGCAAGGTCTAACTGCCAAGGTTTTCCGTACCTACAACGCATCTTACACCATGGGTTGTGTTCTCAACGAGATGAATGCTAGCGGTGGTACTATCGCCGAAAAAGTGAAAGCATACAATGATGCCAACCGTAAGGTTGCCATCTTGTGTAACCACAAGCGCACTGTCACTGCTGGCCATGCGAATGCAATGGAAAAAATGGGTGAACGAGTGGGTTTTCCTCATTCCGCCCTCATGGCGAGAGTCACAATACTGATATATGTTTTACC